AAAAAATTCAGCAACATGTTTTTGCAGCACTGTATGATTGTATCATAGTTTACAACCAGACAGCAGACAATTCACAACCAGACAACATGGAGAATGTTGAACGGGGTAAGTTAAGACACGGATCATCACACCAGCATACAAAAGAAAAAAAAAGTCCAGATACGTTTATATAGCTTTATTTCATTTGTTGCAGGCAGTGATGTATTCAACAAATGATAACCACTAATAACAGACACCGTTTTAAAGCATCGCAAGCTACAAATGAAGAGCACAAAGAACTGAAATCAATGTATAGGCTACAACTAGCTGAAGTTTGCTGTGCTTTATCCTAACAACTAGAGCAGAATGCCTGCAGTCATCCAGTCAGGGACGACTGCACACAACGTGCACTGTAAACGAATAAAAACATTATAAACTGTTAGGAAATGATAAACAAATGTAGTTTGTGCAACACTGTAAATATAATTACCTTTATATATATATATATATATATATATATATGAGAGAGAGAGAGAGAGAGAGAGAGAGAGAGAGAGCGACTGTAAATATAATTACCTTTATATATATATATATATATATATATATATGAGAGAGAGAGAGAGAGAGAGAGAGAGAGAGAGAGAGATCCCATTAAACCTGCTGAGATACAAGGAGCGTGAACTGAAATTCTCAGTTCCACTTGGTTCCACGCGCATGTCCGGGAACTCATGAATATTCATGTTTGCTCCGCCCACTGCAACAGAATATCTCGGAAACCGAAAATCTCGTAACACCGTCCAAAACTCTTTTCCCCCACCGTCACCCTCACACGGAAGACACCTGTTGAAGTGCTCCAGAAATTGTTCTTTCAACCTCATTTCTAAACGTCTCTTCTAAAGGTTTTTTTTTTTTGCAGCATCTTTAAGTAAATTTTATATTTTTATTCACAATTTAACTGTCTAACATAGTTTTACTGTAAATTGTGAAAATATCAATGTTTCCATATGGCAGCAACGCTGTACTACTACGGGAAAATAGGTATGTTGCCATATGACAACGCCAGTGGAATTGCAGTAATGTATTTCCCCATTGGGTTTTTTTTATAGTTAGTAGCATCAATAATACGATTGCAGTTATTTATTTATTTGAAGTGCTTATTGTATTTATGTATAAATAACAGCATTATTTCTTCTTTTCAGAAAATGAATACAGCAATATTTTACTGAAAGGCCAATAGGAAGAGTGCAGAGTTAGCTCTTCCATGAGATGAGAGTGAGGATGAGTTAGCCTTCAGTGAAGGTTAAATGATAGGGATCTACCTTTTTTTTGGTTTGCATGAGTTCAGAGTATATAAATCCATATATTTTTAAAAGAAATGTACATTTAAAAAGAAAAGAAAATCATAATTATATATAAACAAATACTTTTTTGACCACTTTCCATTGTGGTGCAGTGTTGCCATATACCATTTCCCTAAGTACCCCCTTCCCCCCCAATTTTTTTTTTTTTTCAAAAATGTTTTGATTTGTATGATTGAAGCTATTTCGTGTAATACAAACTTATTTGAAAAAAATATTTCATGGTTATTGGTTAGAACATGATGCATACCATAGAGCAGGGATCCTCAAATCTGGCCCACGAGATCCACTTTCCTGCAGAGTTTAGCTCTAACCCTAATCACACACACACCTGAGCATACTAATCAATGTCTTCAGGATCATTAGAAAATCACAGGTAGCTGAGTTTGATCAGGGTTAGAGCTAAACTCTGCAGCGCATTGGCCCTCCAGGGCAAGATTTGAGGAACCCTACCATAGAGGGTTAACCCACTTTATAGTGAATACAGCTGTCCACGCCTTTCTAATTAGCACAGCAAAGCATATAGCACGCAGATGGCTTGAAATCGAAACTTCTGCAGTACAGTTTGCCAATTAAGCACAAATGAACAGGTAGCAAAATGTCTTTTGTAGATTCCAATTACAGCTAACAGCAAACAACACGCACAATCAGCATAACTTTTTTTTAATAAAATAAGCAGTAAACCAATTAATCCTCCCTACTAGCAGATATGTAATCTAAACGACAGAAACAGAAAACTGGTATTAAGACACTTACGCATTCTTGCCGTGTCCACTGACAAATCGCTTTAATTTCCTAAGTTATTATAAATGTGACCTTAATTGCCTGCCGCCTGTAAACCTGTCCTTAGGACAATGCAGCTGCATGTGCAATGTTTTTGGTTCATTGAACAAGTATGGAAAATATTTAGTAAACTAATTTGGATTTTACAAATTATCTTTAAAATATCTTTTCAGTATCTTGAAAAGGGACGTTCCTTTTCTTTGCTGAGTTTATTTGGCACTGATATTTTACATTGTTAGACCAATCAATTACAATAACACACTTGTTACTTGTAAATGCGTCTAATCCTTATAACCAATAACTTTACCCAACTGCATCAGCAGGTTTTAAAATAAATAGCGATATACATATAAGTGCAGTAGTAGGCTAAATATCATTATCAAGATAAGTATTACATTGATAATGATGGTGACTGACAGAAATACTGGGAGCAGGTACCAGGAGTTTAGAACATCCTAGAAAGAGCACAGTCAGAATGTTCAGCAAGTTTTTGTTAATGAATTGTCAAGTCTCTGATGTTACTGGCTGTCAGAGCTCTTTGCACCTTTCTCAATCCTGGGTTGATTGAGCAGCTCCTCTATATTCGTTGAAGGTCATTATCAGTGTCCTGATGTTTCTCACACTTCATTTCTCCAATAAGATCATCTGTAAGCTGGAGACGAGCATTCCTGTAATGGAGACATCAGCTCAAGTTTCTGTTCAAAGTGACTAGTTTATCAGTTCTGTCCAAGTACGAAAATATTCCCTTTCCTGGTAAAACTAACCATTCAGCGACTCTCTGCTCATGTAGCTCTCGTCTTTCCCGTTGTCTCTTGTCATGCATGGTCTCGCCCTCCAGCTTCTGCAGACCAATGACTACAACTCCAGCCGGCAGCCTGTTATAGCATCACATGTTTGTCTCAGAGCAATTAAGCAATATCACATGAGCGAGAGTGCCGCTGTGCTGAATAGCAGCACAGATATAAACTCAAGGTGCACAGGTATTCATGGCCATGCTTATATTTAGAACAAAAGCATTTAATTCTTCTGTTCTATAACAGATTTTTCAGACACAATATAGCCATGCGTTTTGTTCATGTTTTTTTTAATGACTGAAAATACTTCCAACTCTGGTCTGACAGGTGGGGGGGACCAAAACCTGTGCTGGATAATAGTCCATTTTTATTTCAGTTGCAAAATATTATTTTAATATGCAATGGATTATCAACAATAAAATAACACAAAGAACAATTTTTCAGGAAACTATATGCTAAGAATTGATTTCATTTGCATATCTGAAATTAGCAAAATATATAAATCAAAATGTTTTGTAGACAAATGTGTGAATGTTTCAAATGCGTCAATTATGCGTAATGTGTAAAAAGAACAATAAACAAACTTTTACTTGCCCTGCCAAAATTTTACTGGCCCCATCATGAAAAATAAGTTAAATAAAGACAAGTAAACAGTCAGTAATAAAATAAGAACAAATAAACAAATTCCAAGCAATACCATAAATATATACAATAATAAAGGAGGTCATTCAGTCAAGAGCAGATTGGGCCAGAGTGAATTTTTCTTTTCTTTTTTGTTGTTCCTTAATTAACATTAATGACTCAAGACAGCAGCAGGTTTAATCATTTGCTGTCACTTTAAAGACAAAATGCATGGATCACATATTTTCTTCCGACTGTTCACGTTGATTTAATACTTATTTTAACTCAGTTAAGAATCTGCTTACATACTCACCAAAAAAATGGGCATTTTGACTTAGTGTTTTTGTCCATTACATAATGCAAAAGAGAACACGGTTCGGACAGAAACAGCACGTGAGTACCAAATAGAGTTATCTTTCATGTCTTCTTATGCTTAAATTACTTAAAATCATTTGAATGCTTAAACATTCTTGCTCTTTAAAGGGATACTCCACCCAAACATGAAAAAGTCCCTTATCATTTACCCTCATGCAGTCCCAGATGTATGTGACTTTATTTTTTCTGATGAACACAAAGCTTTTTAGTTTATATAATGCAAGTGTACAGGACCACTTCAAAGACTACATAAAGTGAACATGACTGTAAAGTTTAAAATACTAGTATTTTTCTTACTCATGCTTATTTCACTTAAGACATGTTTTTGGCCAGATACTTGTACTTTTAACTGACTAAAATCTTAAAACTTTCTCTTAAAGTACAGATACTGAGTATACAACTATTTGAGACACTAGGAGCTGAGATGGGGCAGAGCAGGCGTAATTTAGTCAGTCTTTAATGCAGCATTGAGTCTTTACACTGAATTTTAAGCAGGCAAAGAGCAGTTTTAACTGTGGAGTCTGCAGCCTGTTCAATCAAATTAGTAGACAGAAACTCATTCAATATGACTCATTATTATGAGCAGTACTACTAGTAGTATTATTTATGTGTTGTGCTCATTAATAGGCTATATTGACAAACTTAAATTAGCCAAACTACAATTTGCAGCCAGTAGTAGTTTTGGAATCATACAAATGTATTTTTAAAGTCCCATGTAGTCAAATCTTATCCTTTAAAACTCATCTTTGATCATCAAAATGACATTTAAATGTTTTTTCTTGTGAAAATAATTTTATCATGCCTTAAAATAGCTTGAATGCAACTCTACAACCTTGCCTCATTTACTATATCTATGAATACGCAAATTAGCCCCACCTCCACTCAGTCACACCAGCCAGCGCCTCCTGATCCACTAAATGAACTGTAGTAAACGCGATACAATGGCAATGGCAAGTGGAAATATTGTGTTTGAACCAGACATAAGCTGGTATGCTCAACGTAAGTAAGAAGACTGATGGCTAACTTCGCGAGGTAACATCTGTTTGCGCTGGTTCGTACACGGATAATGACTGATAAAACTGTTTTTACTAGCGGACAACTACAGTGGATATTATAACATTCGTTAAATTTACTTACTTGATGTTGGGTCCTCAAAATGCCTTGAAGACTCAAATGCAGCCAAGTTTGTGATTCCAAATCGCGCCCGCGATCATACACATGTGACGTGCGGATGTCAATGCGGGAGAGGTGCGTCTGACTCCGGGCTACTTTTACACTGCTGCCGCGGGTTATTATTCAAGTTAGCGGTTCTAAATACAAATAAATGAGCGCTAACAGCACACGACATCGTGAAAATAGGGGGAAATATTAACAGTTATCGAAAAATCTACAGAAAAATATAACTGTTACCGGATTAACCTGGCTGCCTTCTCACTAGAGCAGGGGTGGCGAACGTCGGTCCTGGCGAGCCGCAGCCCTGCAGAGTTTTGCTTCAACCCTAATCAAACACACCTGAACAAGCTAATCAAGGTCTGAACGGTTATTAGGAAGCTACAGGCAGGTGAGGTTTAGGGTTAGAGCTGAACTCTGCAGGGCTGCGGCTCTCCAGGACCGGAGTTCGCCACCGCTGCACGACCCTCTGCTTTGCAGCACAGTTAATGATAAGCTAAGGATAGGATCCCTTGACGCGATTGGTTATTGAATTTTGTGACGTAGCAAAAAAAGGCTGTTTCAAACCGCGTTTCTGTGACTGCCTTTGGGAAGCAACAGCTTTAAGGAAAAAATACTCCGCAATGGTGTTGATAAATGAATTGGCACATGGTTTGTCTAAAAGCATATTAAAAACACCCCATAGACAAATAAACAACATAAAAAAACTTGATTTTCACCACAGGGGGACTTCAATGTATGTTTTCACTTTGTGTGTTCTTTTGTTTTTTAATCATTTTAGCTTTCGTTAATGACAATAACACAGATTAAATACTCCATGATCTTACACAGAACCATTTTTTAAGTCCATTAATAGTGAGAATGTTAGCATCTAACAATCTTCACACTACCTAGAGCAGGGGTGGCGAACGTCGGTCCTGGCGAGCCGCAGCCCTGCAGAGTTTTGCTTCAACCCTAATCAAACACACCTGAACAAGCTAATCAAGGTCTGAACGGTTATTAGGAAGCTACAGGCAGGTGAGTTTTAATTAGGGTTAGAGCTGAACTCTGCAGGGCTGCGGCTCTCCAGGACCGGAGTTCGCCACCGCTGACCTAGAGCATAATGTGCTATGTATAGCTTTTTTTCACTTTGTTGCACCTGGCTGAGTCGTTAGGGTCTGTTTGCAGGCACACTGTGTGCTCCAGGTGTGTGTTAAACAGCTGTGTGAGGCTCTTCTAACTAAGTATCTCTGCTAATGAGGGGAAAGAGTGAGAAAGTATTAATGAACCTAAAACAAAAAGAAATATAACATGAAAACTGAAAAAAAAGTAAATAAAATAAAAGCACAGCACAGCATAGCTGATGGTTCTTCAGATCAAAGACTTCTGTTTAGCATATGGGTACCTCTGTTAATGAGAAAAGAGGAGGACTGGAGGAGCAAAAGGGGGGAAGGGAGTTGTTTTGGCTGGGGGATGCAGCTGTAAGACACAGGATTACAGGGAAGGCCACAGCTGACTGCCAGAACACCCTCAAAGAGGGAGGGAGATGGTAGTGTGAGGGAGTTAAGAGTGCAGTGTTGCTCTAGGGTAGACATCTCTCCAGAGAGAGCAACAGCGCTGATAAGACTGAGATGACTGACTGAGATGTGCACACACACACACACACGTACACACAATCTCTCTCTCTCTCTCTCTCTGTGTTCTACTCACCGCAGTACAGCTCCTATGGCTATACCAGCCAGCAGCCCTCTAAGTCCCAGATTCAGCCGGAACACTCCTCCTGTGAGAGCTGAACACAAACACATGTGAATACTGTCATTCTTTCCTGTTTCCATTCTTTCCTTAGTACTAGCAAAAATGCTTTTAAAATCAGTTCACTTGAGGCACAGACACAGGCCTTCTAAACCATCACCCAGAGGATGAGTTTGTGAACTTACCACCTGCAGCAGCGAAATGGCTCAGATCCTTTTTGTCGCTGTACTCTGTCAATCCAGTATTTACAGTGCTGTAAAAAAGATTTGAACAGCATAAAGCATTTTTCGTAAATGTGGAAACTGACAGGCTATTAATTTTCCTGCAACAACAATCCTAGTACAGTACTTCTAAACCAATTCTACTGTTTTCAGACACATGCTGTATATATTTCTAAAACTCAAATATGCTGTTCAAATATTGCTGCACATTGGAAAGGTGCAGTTTGTACACTAACTAGTAACTGTTAATAAACTAGCAGTGCCTAAAGAAAGTGCAAAATAATGACGGTTTTCAAATAGGTTTCCCCAAACAGTCCTACCACCCTTTTCATCCTTCCCCAAAATCACACCATTGGCTAAATCAGTAGTGTTTTCACAGCTTTCAAAAAGAGGGGGAAAAAAATAGAGATTGATAGCCGCAATCAGAAGAGAAATCAATGTCAAATTCACCGTCATTCCTATAGACACTGTATTAGAAGCACCCTTATAGCAGCGTTAACCATTTTTTGTAATTTGATGAAAAGTAATATAATACAAGGTGTTGTAAATGTACATACATTTTTTAAAATATGAAAATATATAAAAAAAAACTTTGCCGGATTTGCAATGCTGATGACCATTAAAACACATCATTCACAGTCTGTGAAAACAGTCCATGATACATAGTCCACCCAAAAATGAAATTTGCTGAGAATGTCCTCACTCAGGCCATCCACGACATAGATGAGTTTGTTTCTTCAAAGAACATTTAGCTTTAGATCACTTGCTCATTAATGGATCCTCTGCAGTGAATTGGTGCCATCAGAGAACAAAGCTGTTAAAAACATCACAATAATCCACAAGTCACTCGATTACATGACAGTCCCTTCAAATAACGTCTTGTGAAATGAAAAGCTGAATGTTTGTAAGAAACAAATCCATCATCAAGATGTCACTTCCGAATAAGAATCTATAATAACTTTTTCTCTTGTAAAGAAGTCCATCCTTTGTTGTCCTCTCACATCAAAACCAATCAACATATTTGTTTAGAACTGTTTTGGCTTGACGGAGCTTGATCTGTGCATATTTCTCTCCTAATTCAGACAAGGTAACTTTTTCACTGAAGAAAGCGATATAATGGATTACGAAAAACAAAACAGTTCAAAACAAATATGTGGGTGGATTTTGATGTGAAAGGACAACAGGGGATAGACTTTTTCCACTGGAGGAAGTGATATTATGGATTATGGGCTTGTATTTTAGCTGGAAGCGATGGTTTGAAGTTAAAAAGTCTTAATGACGGATTTGTTTCTTGCAAACATTCAGCTTTACACTTTACAAGATGTCAATTGATAGACTGGAGTCATGTGGAATACTGTGATGTTTTTAATCAGTTGTTTGAACTCTGGATTCTAACGGCACCCATTCACTGCAGAGGATGCATTGGTGAGGATATGATGTAATGCTAAATGTATCCAAATCTGTTCTAATGAAGAAACAAACTAATCTACATATTGAATTGGCTGAGGACGAGTACATTGAGTCTATATCTTTGTGTAATACAAGTGCTTTCAAACATGTAATTAAATGTCTCACAAATTAAACCTTAATATAACTAAACTTACTTAAACATGGTCACAAAAGCTGCTACCCTCCAGCTCCACCTCCAGCCAAAGCGCACAAACCCATGAATAGCTGCATTATGGGCTGAGCGCTGGAGAGACAAAATATATACACGTAACATTAATGTATGCACATTTCAGCTCCATTAAATTATAATGTGCTTTTCTTAGCTATACAAAATGTAAAAACAAAGCAATTGAAGCAAAATTTTACAGTACTAAAGTATACAGATGACTATGTGAATGAAAATCTGTTGCTACAGTGGGTACATAAAAGAATCACCCCCCTTTAAAATAATCACATTTTGTTATTTTGCAGCCTGAAATGATGACGGACACAGTTTTTGTTTTATCCAGCTGTGTTTACTCAGTGCAGCTTATAACATCCAAGTGAAAGATATAACACCAACATGTCAGAAAAGTTTTTTAAAATTAAAATAAAAAACAGAATCACGGAGTTGGAAAAAGGATCACCCCTTTTGTCAGTATTTTTTTGAACCACCTTTTGCTTTAATTAAAGTCTTTAGTCTGTTGAGATACATCTCTATTCTCTACTAACTTTGCACATCTAGACTTTGCAATATTTGCCCACTCTTCTTTGCAGAACTGCTCAAGTTGCAAGGACATTCACTTTTTTCTCCTTCAACCACTGTGTGCTCAGTTTTGCTGTGTGCTTTGAGTCATTATCATGTTGGAAGGTAAACGTTTTTCCCATTGACAACTTTCTGGCAGAGGGCAGCAGTTTTTCCTCAAGAATTTGATGGTATTTTGCCCCATCCATTTTTCCTTCTATCCTGACAAGTGCTCCAGTCCCTGCTGCAGAGAAACATCCCAATAAAAGGATATTACCACCTCCATGCTTTACTGTAGGAAAGCAGTTTTTTGGATGGTGAACTGTATTGGATTTCAGCCAAACATATCGTTTGGTGTTGTTGAGGCCAAATAATAAAATTTTAATCTCTTTAAAATGCCTCAGAATCTTCAAGGTGTTTTGGCAAAGCTCAGTCGTGAATGCTTGTGGCCTTTCTTGAGGAGTGGCTTTTTCCACACAAGCCACATTTGTGGAGAATTTGTGATATTGTTGTCACATGCACACAATGACCACTCTTTGTCATAAATTCCTGCAGCTGCTTCAGAGTTGCTGTAGGTCTCTTGGGAGCCTCTCTGACCGGGTTTCTCCTGCTCTTTCATCTAGTTTGGAGCGACATCCTGATCCAGGGAGGCTCTGTGTTGTACCAAACACCATCCACTTCTTAATAATAGACTTCACTGTGGTTCTAGGCATTGATAAAGCCTTTGAATTTTTTTCTGCATCACAGAGGAATAAAGTATGGAAGCTCGCATCAGCCACGGGATAAAATAAATAAATAAAAAATAATTAATGCCACTTTTTATATCACAATTCAGTTTATATATCGCAAATCTGAGAAAAAGTAAGATAACTAAGAATTATTTTCCTTGCAATTACTAGTTTACATCTTAAAATTTGTTTATATCTTGCAATTCTGCCCTTATTCCTCAGAATTCTGAGTTTATATCTCGTAATTCTACTTTTTTAAAATAATAAAAAATATATTATAGGTAATTGTAACCTTTTACAGTGGGGAAAAAAAGTATTTAGTCAGCCACCAGTTGTGCAAGTTCTCCCTCTTAAAAAGATGAGAGAGGCCTGTAATTTTCATCATAGGTATACCTCAACTATGAGAGACAAAATGAGAAAAAAAAATCCAGAAAATCACATGACTTTCTTCTGAGAATTGTTAGTTTATATCTCGCAATTCTGTTTTCCAGTCGTACATTCGAAGACAATCTTAATTAAACCAAAGGCAATATTTGAATGCTGCTGTGGAGAATAATCAAAAGTATAGTCAAACACAAAGTAGAATTCAACATATTCTAAACAAGTGCAGAGAAGCATGTTTAACAAAGCACAAAATTATATTCCACATTCTAAATAAGCACTAAATAGTAACTGTTAAGGCCGTTCACACCAAGCACGATAACTATAAAGAGTGAGTGTGAAGTGACATGTGGCCAAGTATGGTGACACATACGCAGAATTAGTGCTCTGCATTTACCCATCCAAAGTGCACACACACAGCAGTGAACACACACAAACCATGAACACACACCCGGAGCAGTGTGGCGCCCGGGGAGCAGTTGGGAGTTCGGTGCCTTGCTCAAGGGCACCTCAGTCGTGGTATTGAAGGTGGGAGAGAGCGCTGTACATTCACTCCCCCCACCTACAATCCCTGCCGGTACGAGACTCGAACCCACAACCTTTGGGTTATGAGTCCGACTCTCTAACCATTAGGCCACGACTTCCCCTTATAAAGATATAGTTCTAAAAATCGTTCTCAATATTAAAGGATAGCATAGTTCACACCACAACTATAACGAGAACGATACAGAGGAACGATATCGTTGTGATCAAAATGCCAAAAATGTTTTTTTTTTTTTACTGTAAATGACAGTACATATACAGGTGCAAAGTGTAATATAAATCTATATGGACGAATTCTCACAAAATGTCTCACCTGCTTTCATTCAATGCTCCTTCAGTGACCATTACAATGTCAACATGTTCACTTCCTTACACAATGGTCCTGTCTAGTTGTGCTCAAACAAGTGATTTGAAATTATTATTTTTTAATTAGTGGTTACCTAAATGTTTAAAAGCTAAATTTTAATTGTAAAATCATGTTCTAAATGCAAGTGTCTAATTTCTTCACCGCTTGTGTCGTTGCATTTGAAGACACTCAATAATATTAAGAAGTCTGGGCCTTCCTTTATATTTTGAATGTCTTGTTTATCTGGCTTTTATACAATTATAATTCTGACTTTCTGACTTCTGATTAGCAAAAGCAAAAAAGGCCTCTAACACTAGCTTGCTCTATTCTTTTTCTATTCTATCTGTTTTCTTTTTATTTATTATATGATATAAAAAACATCTTGCTACATGTACTGCATTAAGCTAATTGAGACTTGTTATAGCACTTGTATGTCATTGCTCCTTTGTTGATTTTGATTGCTTCCATTGTCCTCATTTCTAAGTCGCTTTGGATAAAAGCGTCTGCTAAATGTCTAAATGTAAATGCTTATCAAGGGCATTAAAATATAAAGGAATAAAGAAAAAATATTTTCAGGGTTTAAAAATGATCACCTTTATTGAAACGACTAGATCTCCCCCATTATGATTTCCTCAGGTCAGAGTTCAGATCTGCTGGCTCTGTGGATGATCTGATTGTAATTTTTTTTCTTCTTGGGTTTGTATTTGAGCAGCTTGCTAAAGTCAGTGAGGAGCCTTTCCTAGTAACAAGACACGTCCTCCATACGGAGATGATCCAGAATAAAGTTCTGGCCCCTAAAGAAGTACAGAACCATAAATATAAGTATTAGCACAATGTCTTAAAGGGATAGTTCAGCTAAAAAAAAAATTTCTATGATCATTTCCTCATACTCATGTTGTTCCAAACGTATATGCACCTTTTTCTTCTGCAAAAAACAAAAGAAGCTAGTCTGAACAATATTGGTAGTCTCGCATAGCCAGACCTTCAGACTGATGGCTGAAGGTCTGGAATCCATGGCAGCTTTTATTGGCCATGAGGCCGTTTGTCAGACATGTCAAACACCCAATCACAGGTCATTTCGTTCAGCGTCACGTTTTGGGGTTGTAAACACGACGGCTTTCTTCTTTCGTGAGGGGGTTTGGCGTCACGGCATCTTTGTTTCCAGGTGGAACGTTAAAGAACGCAACACACGTCTCCCGGAAATCCTATATAATTCAACCAATCCGATGACAACTTCGAAACTCCTGAAGTGTTTCCATTTTGTGTGCCATATGCATCAGACGTTCAGCCAATGGTCCGTGGGCGTGACATCTGAGGCTGAGACTAGGCATGGGCCGATTAGCAGTTTCAAGGTATACCACGATTTGAAAATTTCACGGTTTCAAAACCACTAATATTTTCTGTTATACCGTTCCTGCGGTATGCGCTCTTTTTCATGTCTCCTCAAAGACTGAAAGTGTAGGAATCCCTCAGGTTGAGTGCAGTGTAGAGAGTAACATGACCCTCCTCCTCCTGTTGGTGCGAGTGAGCGGTCAGTCACGTGTGTGTAGGACGGCTGAACTTAAGGAGCTGCTCCTGGAACTTATGCGATCGGCAACCGGCCGTTTTTTGTCTTATTGCAACTCGTCTCTGTTCCGGACTTGCACAAACTGCGTTGCAATGCAATCCTTTTCCAAAATGTAATTTATGTGAAAATATGAAGTCTGTAAACACCCGTTAACACAGGCCAGAGACGTTGGACGCACAGAGAAAAATACTGTAGCAGGCAGATCACTCACTGTTCATGATGCACAAACTATTGGAAGAAAATCCTCAATATTGATTTGGGGGTTTATATGAATGTGTTTCTGAGGGGAACTGACTGTCTTCAGAAAAGTTTAAGTGGTATTTTCTTTTCATCTCTTCTCTGTATAATTCACATTAAAGCAGTGTTTCAGCGCAGTGCTGCTTTGTTTACAGCGGTAACCAAGGAAACACTGTATCTGGTGTTCCAGAAGCACCTCCTGCTGTCAAGAGTAGCTGTGTCTCATTTAGAAGGCTGCGCTCTCCGGAGGTCGAATCCTCAGGAGGTCGCATCCTCTGTAGGATGCATATACGAAGTGTCTTCAACCTAGAATTAAACGAGATGGCCTTCGTAGGACAGGCTGAAAAGGAAACAGGAAGTATCACGTTGCTATGCTAACACATTTAGAGCATTGTTGCGCTCTCAAACTACTTAAATGAAGGAAAATTATTTCTAAATTTGGAAAGTAATTTGAAAAAAAAATGATTTTACTTGTTTTATTTAGTTCAATGTTTGAGGAGCTGCAGCGTAAGTACAGCAGACATCTGTTAGAGAAAAAAAAGGAGGAGGATATTAATTGCTTCAGATTGGATTATTATTAAATCATTATTATTATTATTATTATTATTATTAAATCAAATTATGTATATCATTTATAATATATAATTTCTTTGGATAAAAGCGTCTGCTAAATGTATATGAAATTATATAACTAAATGATATGAAATGATATAAATGATATGTATATGAATTATATAACTAAAATTAAATAACTGTAATTACAGATTTAGGTTAAATAAAGATGTCAGTCTTTATTTTTCTTCTTTTTAGGAAACAAATCAAAGAAAAAATAAACAAATTCTACTGTTCCTAATATTCTGTATGTTGCTCAAAAACAAAATATATTGTGTTCTTCAGCGGGAAAATAATTTTTTTTTACCCAGTCATTTAAAAACAACTCATTTTAGAGCTGTAACGACAATACCGTGATATTTTTGCTTAAGGTTATCATACCGTCAAAATCTCATACCGGCCCATGCCTAGCTGAGACTACAATATTGGTAACCAGACAGTTTGGTTTACCATTGACTTCCATTAAGACATTTTTCTAAATATCTTCTTTTATATTCCAGAGAAAAAAAGTCATACAGGTTTGGAACAACATCAGGGTGAGTGAACCATGACAGAAATGTATTTTAAATTTTTTGGTTAACTAAAGCTGTCTATACCTGACAAACTAGAATAAAGGGTATACTCATTAAAAGGTTGAACAATTTGTTACCTTATAGCAATTTCTTCTGCTACAGCATCATTTTCTTTCACAAACTGAAGCAGCTCTCTAACAACAGAAAGAAAACCAGTTTAGATGCAGTTCTCTGCTGGTGTTCTCATTAACATTTCTATAAACACATTTCACTTGTTTGATGATAATTACTTTAATAAGTCTGGAACAATATGAGGGTGAGTAAACAATGACAACATTTCAGCTGAAGATTTTACACAGATTGCATACACAATATATCCCCTAAGTTTGAACATTTCCTTTTCCCATATATGCAAGACTGAAATTGCCACTTTGATTGCTATTGGTCATGTCATTTGATATAGAAATACATATGTAACATACTTTGTGAAATGCAAATTATTTTGAGCACAAACTTAGATTTGAACCCTTTGTCATTGTTACTTGGCTCATTGATAAAGCTTGGCAAAAGTGTTACTTTGTGTTACTGACAAAAACGACTGGAATACCTTACGTGCGCATGAAAAGACAAAGCCCAAGGTTCCCATTTTAGAGAACTATTTATTGTGTGTTAAAGAAAAGGGTGAATATCAGCTAGCCAGAGGAAAATGTTAAAGTTACCTGAGATCAGACAAGTCCTGTTTGACAGGAATGTAGTGAACCCAGGGATTGAGCTGAGGGTAGAAGAACTCAAGCCAGTCCTCGCCGACGTGAAAAAAACCAGCGATACACACAGGAACAGATGCTTTAAGCGGAAACTAGCAGCCACACCTCTAAAGTTAAAAAGGTATCTAAGAGATAGGGAGATCAGACAATCTATAACAAAATGTCTAAATACTAGTTCACTGACAGAGATCTGTTTCTGTGCTATAGCTCATGCAAAAGCAGAAGTGAGACAGGTCTTACTTGTATTCACAGTGGTCAACTAGGGGGATTTCTTTGGCAGGGGGTCTACCCAAAGTGTCCTGAGGAAAAACAACTAAACAAAAATAGTAGTTCTGATATGACAAAGTCTAGAGCAAAAAGATAAAACAAACTGATTTTGAGTTTTTTTATTTTATTTTTTTTTATATTAAAGCACCTCTAGCTTGGTCTAGATTAGTATTACCCAATCCTGTGCTTGTATGCCCCTCAAAATCAAAAGCAATAATGATACATATAAAACTGATGGGGTGCCCTGTTGAAATACAGCTTCACAGTAATAAACTGGAAATAGCAGAATCAATGATGCAAACTCAATTAATAAGACAGTTCAGATTCTCCCATAAAGCAGCTCTAAAAGTATTTTTCCTTGTTCCTTTTTGCTATGTTACATGTGAAATGTTTTCATATTATACAATGGGATGTGATATTATACATGCTATTTGTTGACAATAAAGCATTATTAAAAGAAAAAAGAAAACCGTGTCATTACTTAGCTCCAGTAAGTTCAGTGTTAGTTCATTTCAGTTCAATAACTATGTAAAGTTCATCAGTTAGGAAACAAATTTAATTCCAGCACTACAGAAGACAAAAGTGTCATTATCCAGTTTAATTCAGTTCAAGTTTTGTTCTCATCTGATGGTGTCAGTCACTGTGGTCATATCGATACATTTCTGAAAGTTAAGTGTCTTTCAGGCCCCAACTAAGAAAGACAAAGCCAACAGCAGCAAGGCACCCAAACTCCATTGGATGAGAGAAATGGAGTAGAAAAAAGGGATGCCAGAAACCAGGCTCAGACGGGGGACCAATTCAGTGGCCTACGCAAATGAATGTTGTGATACTGATCGAGGATGCCTTTTATATGTTAAATAAGGATAAACAAACCTTCTCTGACTTCCAGGCTTGGTTCTTGGTGTACTCGGCATCCACAAGGTCAGGGGCTTCTCTTGAGAGAAGGATCAGAGGGTCCCTTTCTGAACTGGTCCTACAAATATTGGCAAAACTGATCAGCTTACCCTGAAAACAACACTGCATTTAAGTGTATGTTGGAGACACAACTGACCTAGAGCCTCTAAAGAATCCTTTTGGATTTTTTTTCTTCCAGGGCCATCGAGCAGCTGATCTGAAGAGTGTGAACTAAACATTAGAATATATCTGGCCTGAAATCGACTGTAATGCAGTTAACTCTCTGTATATTCTCAAGCATTCTTAAATCTCTGGTTCCCACTTTTTCAGGTCATCCCTCATGAGGTCCCATCGGCCCAGTCCAGTGGGGTAAATGGGCCATACAGCAGGACCTCCCTCCCAAAACGTCCATGCAGGGTACATGATGTCCTGGTAGTCTGCTGTCTAAACCATGAACACAAGTATAACTATGTTAATAGACATTAATACAATTAGAGCCCTACTAATATTAATTTTGTTGTGGAAATAAATGAACCATGCATGTTTTGAATGTTGAAAATAGGATTTTCTATTCATGCATATTCTTTTACAAAAAAAAAAAGAAAAGATTTTTATATATTTATTTTCTGCATTAATAGAAAGTGAAGCTATGGGGTCAGTCAGTGATAGTAATCTGAAGGCAGAGGCACAATGTAAATTGCCTTAATATAATTAAGCATGATATAACATACAGTATACTACTAATATACCATAAAATCAAATTAGTAGATTGTTTAATGACGATATAATGGGGTGTGGCTGTACACACCTTACTGAAAGAAAGTACAGGCAAGACTGGCTGAACCCATCCAGGAACCTGTGGATAGTCACGCACACTAATCACCACTTCCAAATCTGGCAACCGGTTAATCGCTTTTAGGATGAAGTGCTCGACACCACTGCATCTACAAAGAAAGGATAAATGTCTGATATTCAACATCCACACGCACACGATAAGATCATGGTTTTACTTAAAAAAAAATATATATATAAAAACATTTAACAGTTCACCAACCTTGCTGGAAACATGCAGCTTTGTTCTCTGTACAACTTGTTCCCGATGATCTGGTAGTGCGTACCAACACCTCTGTGGACCGTGTCTGCCATCAACCCCTCAGATATACCGTTTTTAAATGGCCTAAAGTCATCTTTTAAGACACTGCAATCAAAAGAGCGATGGAGGAAACTCTACATTATTCAGCTCTATGCATCTGCAATGTGTGTATTCTTTGGTAAGATCTGCTATGAACAGGGGCGCCGCTACCAAGTGAGGCACAAAAAAATGAGGTTGGGCCGCCTACCGGACCAAACATACAAGCAAACCTAGTTATCCAAAATCTTTGTCTGCAATTTAATAATACTGATCTATTACTTTTGCTATTGCTTTTGACCACTAGGTATCAGTATTTAGTCAGAGACCTACCCATAGCCGTGGAATATATTTTATCTGGGGCTTGATGTTGAAGGGCGGGCCGCGGTGGGGGATTTTAAACAAAATCCTAATATTAAACAGCCCAAACACTTATAGTTACACAAATTAATGAAGACAGTTATATGAGAATGAATATTTATTTGTGATTTTAGCTCAATAATATTTTTTTCTTTAATATATTTATTATTTTAAGGGGATTTTACTAAGTATTTACCCCTAAATTATGCACCATTTATCATCTGCAGTATCAGGGTGCAACCTCTAGATGACTGTATATATATAAATACACATAAACCGTTTAGTGCACAGTTAAAACATAAAGCACGTTACTTGTATCAGGTTATTAATTGATGTATTTTGAGACATTATTAAAGACTACATCTAGCAAAAGTTGAAATTTAAATGTTGATTTAAAGTGTCAGTTATTATTATTGTATTATTAAATTTATAATTTCTATTGCATTACTACTAGTACTGTTACTGCTAATAAAACAGATCTCTGGGGGCCCCAAAAGAGAACAGAAACTCACATAAGTCCATAGGTTGACAACAATTGGACATTCCCAAAACATGTGGAGAAAAGTACCTGATGATACAGTGTTACAGATATGGCAGTTATCGGTCGACTGCAGTTTCATTTTAAACCTCTTGTAAGGAGTTATGTATGCTCTATGGATGACTTTGAAATGGATAAGACGATGAGCCTAGTTTTTAGAAGTTAAGATTAGATTAGACCACACCCTCTCCCAGTCGATCGATAAGTCAAAATCTCTTAATTCACGATTCCAGATAGGTTTAATAGAAAGAGGCTTTGCAGTGTGATCATTAAGTTTACTATATATTAAAGAAACAGATGGCCAACCAGAGGGTGGTGTGATCCAATCCCACATAGGATGAGAGGAAATGAACAAGGGCTACTTATTATATATTTGTGAAGTTGACCTGAGATGACAGCTGCAGTTCTCCTGATTGCATGGCTGGTAATTATTTGTGACTTCTGTGATCTTCCTGATGAATGACTGCCAGCGTTTGGCTGAAGGAAAGAGAGAGAGAAAACAACTTTCAGAAAATCTGTTCATTCAATATTTATTCTAAACACAGATCGTAAAATATACGAACTATAAAAGTAAGACATGCTGTATTTTCAAAACAGGGGTTTTGCAGGTTTTATGAAGGTAAATTTAAGACCAAGAAAAGAACATTTAAAGGTCCCCTGAAATGCTTAGAAACACGCAGCCACGCAGCGGGTGTTGAGGTCATTTGAACTGAAACAGGAAGACAGGGCGGGACATATCAAGCAGCCCCGCCCCCTTTTAACCTTTTAAATAGCGTTCGTTTATATCACAGCTTGGGCTAGAGCCGTTGAGCTCCTTAAAGCCGCTTTTGACAGGATATGACAGCCACAATCTCATCCATATTGCTATAAAATATAGCATTCTGTGTAGAATTCAAATAGCTCCGATACATTTTGAGGTCTGCGCCGACTCGCGCATGTGATCCGCTCCGTGCTCTTGTGTCTTTGGACCGGAGCAGAGTGTGTGTGCACGTGCGGTGGTTAGCATGAAACCAGACTTCTTTTTTTCCTCAATGGAAAGCATATTTACACGGTTTGAATTGTTCCCTGTCCCCTATATAGTGCACTACGTGGCATTCACTGTACAAATGACCGATTTCAGCTGCGGCTTTAGCGTCTATTTTATAGTGTAGGGGGCGGGCGCTTCGGATTCTAGAGAGCATTTGATTGGACAGAAAGTCTGATGAGAAGCTGAAGTACGATGTGACATCAAAAAAATCATTGAGCCGTTTTGGCGGAAGTGACGAACTGCAAGCTTTGAACGCTTATATCTTCTAAATGCGAATTTTGTCACTGTTTTGGAGCACACTGCCTATAGATAACCTTAAGACTAACATATTGATACTAACACCCAAAAATCTTTAATTTTGATTTCATGGGGACTTTAAGGAATACATTTAACAGAACACAATATATCAGTAGGGTCTCTAAATGTAAATGTATTTTATAAGCAATACTTGAAAGTTTAAAAATGCAATTTCCAACCGATCTCCATTACTTTTTAATGCATTTTACAACAACACAAAACCCTACACCTTATGATCACACTGCAAAAAAAGTAAAATCAATGTTCTTCCTCAGTAATTTTGTATTTTTTACCAGTACAAATGTCTAAATCATGACACATTTACTTGAGAAGCAAAAGGGCAAATGATATTAAGTCTTGTTTTCTGAGTAACTGATCAAAATGAAGTGAGTTTATGATTAAAACAAAAAACATTATTTGCCAATGGTCTCCGAAAAATCTACCTAGTTCAAAGGAGAAACGTGTCTTTCCCCATTGAAAGATATTCATTGTTTTAAGCATAAATACTTAATTTTGTTCTCAGAAAACAAGACTTAATATGATCAATTCGCATCACAAGTAACGTTATGTATCTTAATTTAAGGATGTTTGTATTTTATATTGCAAAACAAGACAAAAATACTGAGGAAGATTTCATTTTATTTATTTATTTTGCAATACACAAAATATTTAATGCCATGCCTTTATAAATGTAAGACTTCCAAAAACATCAGTAGAGGTCTAAAAACGTCGCTAATGCTAAAGACGCAGGTACAGAAATCCACAGTACGCTATTAAGAATCAGATGTGAAAATTAACTAATTAATGGGCGACCGAACAAAGATAGATAATTGTCAGCATCAAACCAAAATTCTATGAGTTCTCACCGTTATCTGAAAGACACAACTCAATTCCATTCAGCAAAAGGATAAAAGACGGCATGAACAGCCATGGCAACTCCATTTCTCTGCATCAGTTTAGCGTGACTGGCTCGATTTGAGGAGAAGTCGATGAATGTAGTAGTATGGTCTGCAAGTATTCATTTGGCCTTTAGATCAAATGTTCTGTAAAGGTCAGATGCCCCTGGGGGTTTCTTGCCCCATAGGGGATCATTTTTGCCTCAATGGTGGGGCAAGATGGCTCCCTTTCATATTTTTAATTTGTGTGCCATTACAACTAAACTGTTAATTGTTTCAATTTGATTTCCATAATAGTCTGTTGGGTGATGCATAATGATCCGCTACATGCTAAACATATAAATGTGTTACAGTTTATCAGTATATGGACATTGTTCTTAAGGGGGCTTCTTTTCCGTCTTCCCCTAAAATAACACTGGTCTAAACCTAAATCTAGAGATTATGGTTTCTCTTTTAATTCTTCCTGTTATTCTACCTAACTCTGAATTTATTTGAATGCTATTAAACTATTTGTTCTATCTTCCTCCCATTGTTTTTGACATCTGCTCCTCCTTTGTTGTTTAATTATGCTCGTATTATATTTAAACTTTATACCTATATCTCTTTTCTTTGCAAAGTTGCAAACTTTTTTTCTGAGAGTGTACCCTAACTATGGATACATACTCTTTGTCATGTGTTCAGGTGACCTATAATGTGATTTTTGTCACAATGATTATCATCTACATGTTGAGAGACTTGTACTGTTATTCCCTATGGTACTTATGTCTGTCCTCTTTTTCTTCAGATCATGATTTATTTTTAGCTTTTAAATGACTGGGTCGCTAAAAGAGGCCTTAATTCACCAGGCGAATACTCTCTGGAATATCTATCAAATATCTTATCCTATCATGTCTTTGCCTAATTGTTGGGAAAAGGTGAGGTTGCAGAATGAGGAAGAGAACATAAGATGTTTTTCAGTGTTGAAGTACTACACATTGAGTCTCATTTTATTGGTCAGGCTCATTGTCCTGCAGGATCTTACCTGGACTCTTTCCATCAGACTCTTCTTTTTATTCACCTGTTTAACCATTGCTACTATGCTGTCCATCTGGCTTGTCTTGGTTTCCTGCATAGATTTTCTCCTGTACTCTTCTGCAGAGGAGGGTCTGGAGTTTCCCAGTTTCGATGGCAAGGACAGAGTTCTTAATGTCAATGAGAGGAACTATAAGAAGGCATTAAAGAAGTA